CTGCCCATGCCATGTGGCTGCCACTGGCAAGTATTCCCTGCGCCCCTGTGTTGTGGCCACTTCCCATGCCATGCCCCATGGTTGCGTGCTACACCCCCCGGTGCAGTCAATGCACCATGCCCCCCACACCTCAGGACTTCCCCCCACACCATGTTGCTGCAGCCGCCATGTGCTCTCCCTGCCGTGGCCACTCCCCATGCCATGGCACTTGCCACCCCCCCCCACGCACCGGGCACCACACCCCAGGGCTGTTCCCCACACCACGCAAACAGCAAGTGCTCCCCGTGCCATGCCTTACAGCCACCCCCACCCCCCATGCACCCTCGCGCCATGTCCCCTGCATGCAGAGCAGCAGGGAGGAGGGTTGGAATGGAGCTGGACCCAGAGTGGCAGGAGGAGTGAGACATGACCAAGAATGGTGGCAGCAATGAGGAGGGAGAAAGGCAGGACCTGGAGTGGCAGCAGGGGGGGAGCGAGGCAGGATTCAGAGCGGCAGCAGGAGGGTGGGCAGGGCTGGACCTGGAGCGGCTGGGGAAGGGGGTGGGGCTGGACGTGGGTCTCCATCCCAGCTCTGCCCCATACTCCCTGTCATTCATGACAGGCATTTTGCCAGTCATAATAATAATATGCATATAATATTCTCTTTGCTTACATCTAAACATTGAACATGTTAAGAGGTTACAATGTTACAATATCATGTTAAACATAAAAATAATAAATGATAAAAGCTTACTTTTAAAGTGCTCTTGAGAACTCTTATGTGATGAAGCTTTTCATTGACTATTGGGTCATTGCACCTCTTTACAAAAGACCTGCGGAATTCCTGCTTGGTGGATGGTCGCTGTTCTCCAAAGGCCGACAAGCTAGCTTGTTCCAAAGACCTGTACAACTGTTGCAGACCATCTGTACTTTCTTGTATTTCCTTTGTATTTTCTGAAAGAAAGTTTATAATTTTTTTAACAATGATGCAGGTAGGTGAGAGAGCAATGAATGACCCTGAAAAGGTCAAGGATTCTGCAAGTTGGTATGTGGAATTAGCACGTAACACCTTCCCCCAGTTCAGGTATTGATAAAATCAGAACATTTTGGTTAAAACTAAAGTTGGAATCTGAACATAGGTAGATAATCTCAACCAAAACTAAGGGGTGGCAACTATGGCAAGGTAACTGATGAGGTGTCCAGGATTAAGGTTTTTTGGAAATTAAGAAATCAGTCACACATCAGTCATGCATCATTGATGTCAATGGCAAAGTGCTAACTGAATTCAGTGGAGATTATTGGGTTACAATCCTTGCACAACCATACCTTCATTACAGAAACTATTTTGCCTTTTAATAAGAAGTTTCTCTTCTGGCATCTCTTCTGATATTCCTGTAGACTTTACACATCCCTTGCTCCTGACATCTCTGTTTCGCGGAAGGCTCTGACTACGTTGTTTCTGAGGCCTACTGTGAGAACTATGTCCTCTCTGACATTCCGCTAGTGGGAAAGGCCCATCCCGTTCATGGTTGTGACGTCTTTGGACTGGTAATGTTGCTTGTCTTCGCTTATCTGGTGACATTCCAGGTCGACCACTTATGCATTCTGAGTCAGGAGGAACAGTCTGAAGAAAATGGAGCCCTGAACTGGTTAAAGGGGTCTCTATCAGGTCCTGCCATGAGCGCCTTTCTCGGTAGGAAGGCCTGCATCCTGATGAATGTGTACTTCCTGTGGCATCTTGTCGGGAATCCTCCGCAGAAGAATGAGAATAAGTTGATTCACTTGAAAAATGTCGGCCATGTTTGGGTTCAGGGAATGGACTTGAAGAATTCACCTAAAAATAATCAAAGCATCTGGCTGTTAGACAGAACAGTGAAGAGACACAGGAAAAACTCTAGACATAAATTACAGTATACAGTTAGTTCTAACCAAATGGTCTGATCTGTGTGTTTTGGTATGTCCTATTATAAGCCTCTTAGAAAAGAAGACAACTAATGGGATTATACTTTATGTAAGCACTATGTTTTTAACCACTCCCTATTCTTGTTTTGACACATTCTCTGCCCAAGAGCAACTCCTGCTGGAAGGGACAGCATAGCACTGGTACAGGTTTTCTAAAGACCTACCCAGCTTACACCCAGTCCAATGGTGTGTTGTAAGGAAGACATGAAAGCCCCCAAGGAAACAATAACTGAATTTCCTTTCTTTTCAGGGGGTAGATGTTCCAGCCAAACAGGAAGAAAAAACAAAAACAAATTTCAGCTCCCAGGAAGACATTTAAATTTTAGGGGACTGCTGAGCTTATCCAAATCAAGTTAATTAAATTCTGCTTGGTCTGTTTATCATCTTAATAAAAATAAAAAGGCAAAAAAGTGGAAAAACAGAAAGGGAGGGGCTTAACCTGTATCCTGGTTGATAAAACAGCATCACATGGGTGAAAATCAGTCTGAACTTCACCCATGTGATGCTGTTGCCTCAGTCTCTTTTTCTTTGGTTCTGGTTGTGTGAGGATCATGTCATTCACGCTGAAGAAAAATCTGAAAGAAAAATAGAAAACAGTCCTATCTGCACTTCGAAATACAGGTTGAATATCACAGCTTGTCCATATTCTGTATACCAGCAATACTTTCAGCAGCTATCAGAGCCTGCCCATATATTGCATAGAGTTAATGCTTTTATCAGTTATGACTGTCCACCCATGCACTGCATACAAAGTGTTTCTGTTAGTTACTTTTCATGTTACAATACTTCTCATGAAAAATATTGTAAAATAAATTGGTGTGTTTTGGAAGAAATTTGTCTTTAAAATATGCTTCTTAGAAAGTTTATTCTCCAGATCAGAGCTATTGTGTGATTGTGATCTAAAGATCTTCATTTCCAGTAATTATGGCATAAGGATATAAAGCTTTGCTTATCAGAGATTATCTGATCTCAGGACATTTCGTTCATAATTCAGTTATATTTCTATATTGTATCAGGTTTTTTTAAAAAGAAAGAAAACTGACTTGGCTACAGGAGACTGACACAGTAGCCTTTCTTTCCTTTGAATAATATATTTTAAATATTCACTCCTGCTCTTATCTTATTAGTAATATATATAGTAATGCAAGAGGTTTTAACCTTTTTTAATAAGTGTACTCCTGGCAGCCCCTTTTTTAGTAAATGTACCCGGTGGGGGTAGGCGAGCAGCTAGACGTAGAATTGGGGGTATGGTGAGTGGTGGAGTAGCAGCAGCACAGCATCTGTATGGCCCTGCTTTCGCCCCACCCTGGCCCTGCTCCTGTGAGGCAGCGGTGAAGGGTAGCGGCACTCTATCCCTGCCCACCCCGTGTACCCCCTGGGACCTTTCAAAGTACCCCCCGGGTACTCCTGGTTCACAACCCCTGTAGTAATGTATATATTCCTGCCTCAGGCAGGGGGGCCTGCCTCAGACAGGGGGTTGGACTAAATGTCCTATGGAGGTCCCTTCCAGCCTTACTTCTCTATGTTTCTCTCTATATAGCAGGGGTGGGTAAAATCCAGCCCACAGTCTGAATCTAGCTTGCGAGGCCATTCTATCTAGCCCACGGGGCCCCTAAAACATTTAGAAAATTAATATTTATCTCTCCTTGGTTCCTCTAAAAAATGACAGCAGCAAGGGGCAGTAGGACCCAGAGGAAGCCCCAGTGGCGTCCTGCAACAGTAGGGCCTGCCCAGCCCCACCCCCCGAGCTGGAAGCCCAAGCAGGGGCTTCTGACCTGGGATTATGTGACTCCTCGGCTGCACCGGTGCGGGAAACTCAGACAAGGGGTGGGGAAGGGCAGGGGAGGACCCCAGGCAGGGAAGGAGCTGGTGCAGTGTGTGGGGAAAAGCGGCCCCTTCCTGCCCCATGGTCGGCATTCCCTGCTGCAGCCACTCACAGCCTGTGCAGGGCTGTCCTGAGCAGGCACAGGCAGCCCCACATGGGCTGCAAGCAGCTGCAGCATGGCGCACTGGCCACGGGGCAGGGAAGGGGCTGCTTTTCCCATGCTCAGCACCGGCTTGTAACCCACTCCCGCTGCCAGCCTGGACCCCACGCCAGCTCTGGGCTCACCCATCAGAGCTGTGCCATGGTGGCGGCAGCTGCTCGGTGCAGAGGAAAGCGACCCCCCCTCCCGTTTGCTGCACTGGGCAGTATGCAGCTGCCACTGCCACCTCTGTGCTGCCCAGTGTGCAAACTCTGGGTGGGCAGCAGCAGCAAACACTGCCTGGTGTGGCAAACGGGGGGGCTACTTTCCACTATGCCAAGCAGCTGCTACCGTCATGGCGCAGCCCCAACAAGCGAGCCCAGAGCCGGCGCGGGGCCCAGGCAGGCAGTGGGGGTGGGTTACAAGTTGGTACTGTGCACAGGAAAAGTGACCCTTCACCTTCCCCATGGCCAGCACCCCATTCTGCAGCTGCTCACAGCCCATGTGGGGCTGCCTATACCTGCTCACCCCGCAAAGGCTGCAAGCGGCTGCAGAAGGGAGCACGGACCATGGTTGGGAGAGGGGCCTCTTTTCCCCACATTCAGCACCAGCTCCTTCCTTGCCAGCGAGCAGGGGGTCAGGGAGTAGCCCCTGCCTGTACTGTGGGGGCACTGGGAGTGAGCGGGTGTGGGAGTCAGTGGGAGCATGGGGCCCACACCAATGTCCTGGGGCCAGCACCAGCAGGGCCCAAAGCAGGGTGACAGGAGTACAGGGTCCTGGCTGACAGGAGCTATATGGAGCTGGGCCTGCACCCCGCTTTGGGCCCCACTGGTGCTGGCCCTGAGACATTGGTCCCAAGACATTGGGACATTGGTCCCAAGATGGTGACCAGGAGGTGGGGCCCCTGTGAAGGGGCAGGGCTACCCATGCAGCCCTCAACAGCTTGCCAAAACTGGGTAAGCGGCCCTCCACCTGAAATAATTGCCCACCCCTGATATATAGTAATATAATATTAGTTCCTATATAATATTCTCTTTGCTTACATCTAAGTCCCACCTCTGTTCTGTATATATATCACTGTAAAACAAGCAGCATGCAAACCAAGGAATCACAGAAGTTTATTTATTGGCATAGTAGAGGATGACTTACTGAGGGTGTTCTATGATAGGTGTCACACAGTGTTGAAGAGCCTTCCTGTTTCAGAGTTAAAGAGCCATCAGTATCGTCCTGGTCACTTTCACTCCAGTAATCTGCTAATAAAACATTTAATATTTCATTGATGTGATTACTAAAAAGATAGTTTTGACAACATTATCAGAATATAACTGAAACATTTTTTCTTTAATATGGCCAAAGTAAAATTTTCAAGAGCACCTAGAAACCTATGTGCTATTTTATAAAATATCTGCTTGCAGACATGTAAATAACAAACCCAGAAATGATGCTTTACTTTCAACCCAGTGTGCTCCCATGCCAAGCCTACCACATGCCCAGAAGAGGCACTCTGTTAGTTGGACCCGGCTTCCCCAATGTCTGTATAGTTTGGGTGCTTTAGTGGGGCTTTTTTGGCACTTTTATCTAATAGCTGATTGGATCAGTTATTAGATAAAAGCTCCAAAAAGCCCTGCTGAAGCACCCAATCTATACAGATGCTGAGGACCCGGCTCCAGGTAACACTTCCAGTAATGCGCATTTTTCCCCCCACATCTTTCAGCACCCAATTTTCAAAGGTATTCAGGGGACCAAAGATGCATATGTGCTTAGTGAGACTCTCAAAAGCATCAGCGCTGGTTATACGCCTATCTTAATTTGATTTCAAAGGGAGTTCACTTTAATCAATCACTGGTCCTTGCAGGTGCCAAAGAACACTCATGCTTGTTGTGTTTAGAAATTGAGAAACAATGGAGCACAACCAAGAGATCCAGTACAAGCTCTTTGTAACATGCAGCTCTAGCTTCTCAATGGGTTAAGGCAGGGCGTATGATGTGGAGGCAGGCTTCAAAAATGCACTTTCTTCCTACCATGTGGGCAGTGCTGGTGTGCAGCAGTGTGCAGCAGCGGGAGAGGTGGCTGCAGGGGTGCACAGGCCACATGCTGGCCCCTTGTGGGCTGCTTACGGCCTGTGGGCCACCAGTTGGACACCCCTGGGTTAAGGGAACGAAGTCTGCTATCTGAATGGTGCACTCAGGAAGGATTCTTTAGCGCAGCTTGCCCAGTGATTATGACACTCTCCTTTCAGGATGACTCCCTATCTGATGGCACTAACAGAATGCTATGCAGAGCAAGACACAATATGATCCTAATTCTTTTATTTATCATTTTTATACCAAATGTAAAACAGCCATACTATATTCATCAAAATGTTGTTTTCCTAAGATTGTCCCAAGATCCTTTCTTTGACTTTTCAAAGGATTATTCTGAATTTTATTTTCTCTGCTGATGGCTCAGTTAAATATATGAAAAGGGTCTGCATATCTATGAAACATAAAATGGTTAAAAGATACTGCATACATATTAATGCAGAACTCAATTGTGAGATATTTATGTCCTATTTTGTTCATATCATGATTCAGTTAACCAGACAATTTTCTGAACTTTATTTTTCTCCAAAGCATTTCAGTTAAAATAACAGAAGCCTTACCTTCATCTGGCCGAAGATCCTTGTCATCAGGTGTGTAACCAATGGCTGCAAGACCCAGACGATTCATCCATCTAATAAAATAATAAGACAACAAGGGATTAAAGGAAGAGTAAAGGTGTCCCATTTGCAGGCCACTGAGGCAGGGCTTCACTGTTTATTTAACTTTAGTACACAAAGGAGGTACTATGGTCGGTAGGGTTGTCCGAAATGGCTATGTTTTGTTTCAGTTTCAGATTTGGCCATTTCAGAGGACAGTGATTTGTTTCGGTGTTTCGGATCACTGTTCCATTTCGATTCAGCTGAAACTGTTTCGGGGTTTCAAGGTTGTTTCAGTGATTCAGTCACAGGCTATAACGGAGAATCACTGAAATGCCTATAATGTTGTCATTTCTTGCCTGATTCAGATGAAAATTGTAGGTATGGTAGTGCCTTCTGAGGGCATGAAGCCTGCCAAGTTTCAAGGAGATAGGCGCAGGGTTTTTTGTGAAACTGTACTTTAAACCGTTCAAAGCAAAACTTGTGCCATGTGTGTTAAGGCAGAGTGGGATGAAAACAGCAGGGATGGTAGCCTCTTCTGAGATAGCCTCTTCTGAACCTCAAACTGTTCAAAGCAAAACTCATGACATGTGACTTTGTGTGCGTTAAGGCACAGTGGGATGAAACCAGCAGGGCTGGTAGCCTGTAACAGGGGGCCTTCCCAGTGCCATTTAGATCTTCGCCCACCCACCTGTTTCTGGGCCAACTGCCCACCCCTCTTTTGCTTGCCATGCAAAACTGATTCAGATGTTTCCCAGGCAGGAGGCTGCCCTTTTAGGCCTCCGATCTCTAGAGGTGACATCCATTCTGCAGCTCCATACCTCCCCTAAAACTGCTGCCCATGCCTTGAAGATGGCATCCAAGGCAGCTCACCTGTAGCATCACAACTCTACTGCAACCAGTAAGCCTCAGGCCTCTCAAAGATCTTACAGGTCTGGGTTTTCCCCAGCCAGGACTGTGTGTGTGTGTGTGTGTGGGGTGGCTGGAGGTTATAAGGTACCTCCTACCCACCTTTCACTAGAGAAGTTTGTGGTCCTGGCATTTCTTGGGGGCTGCCATGCCACTGGCAGTCCCACCAGGGCTCCTGACCCTGGCAGGGTGCAGTTTTAAGTCATGCCCAGGACCTGGGACCTCTTCCTTCTCATAGCCCCAGCGCATACCACCAAGCTCATCCTGGCACAGGAGCTCAGCAGAGTATATTCTTTTCCTGCTGCCTGGTGATACAGTGAGTGCTGCCTCCAGCTCTGAGAGTGGGACATTAAATGGTTTTAAAAAAACACGTTAAAAAGGAAATAGGTGCAGACAGAGTGAGGAGGGTGACACTCACTCTGTCTGCACGTGGAGCTTGGGGAACCCCAGCAGTGGGAGGTTCACCTTGAGGAACACCAGCTGCTCCACCAAACCAAGATTCAAGCAGGTGTGGTAGGATATCACAACATCCCCAGCAATGCTAAACACTCTCTTGTTTGGAACACTGGTTGGTGGACAGGACAGGTGTTCCCGGGCAACCGTGGCCAGATCCTGCCACATCTGGCTGTGGCTTGCCCAGGAGGCCAACGGGTTGCAGAGCAGCGGCTCCACATCCTTGATGAGATAGGTAGCCACTGAGGCCTTGGCGCTACCTGCCCGATGCTGGGGTCTGGTGCCTCTGGACCCCAACATGGAAGCCATGCCCTTGGCCCACATTGGCAGCACCTGTGGTGGAGCAGACTGGCTGGTGGATGGAGTGCTGGCATGGGACAGTAGATCCCCCTCTTCCATGTCCCCCTGCCTCTGCCCTTCTGCCTCCCTGACCCTGCTCACCAGCACCTCCATCCAGTGATCCAGGGTTTTGCTGGTGCACATGCTCCCCTTCACCTTTGGGTCACACATAGGCACTAACACATGGACCATACTGGACTGCAACAGATCCAACCATTTCTTGATGCCAACCTTCAGCTGCTTCAGTAGTGCCTGCCCTCTGGTGATTGCAGCTTGCTCTAGCCATGAACATTGATCCCCTGGAACTTCTCCGTTTGGTTCTGAAGCTCCCTCACTATGGGAATCACCCGGCTAAGGCAGGCATCACCAGCACTGAGGTTCTCGGTGGCCTTGAGGAATGGCTTGAGGACCACTTAGATCTGGGAGACAGTATCCCACTCTCTTTTGTTAAGGGTGGTGCTGATCCCAATCTCCCCGAGCAAGGCCATCTCATGGATGGCCTTCTGTTGCTCCACTAGCCTTTCAAGCATCAGGTATGTGGAGTTCCACCGAGTCTCCACAACCTACATGATTTTACACTGTAAGATGCTCAGCTCTGCCTGTCTGTCCCACAGAATCTTGCCCACCTTGATGCTCCAGTGGAAGTAGCCCACCACCTTCCTGCATTTTGAAATGAGCTGTGTGGTAGTGATGGTGCCCTCACTGGCAGCCCTGTCCCCCTCCAAGGCATCCCTGACTATAAGGTGGAACTTGTGTGCCAGACAGTGGATGCCAACAAAGTTGGCATTGCAGACCTCCTTGACCATATTGGCCTCATTGTTGATAACCATAAACTCACCCTGCCCAATGAGCCACCCCTGCGCCATGTGGTTCATGGCTCCCATGATCTCTGTTGCCATGTGGGACTCATCCATCACCTTGGCTTGAAGGAGAGCCCACTGACGGCTTGACTGATCACACCAGTGCTCTGTGAGGGACAGGTAGGTATGATCTCCACCCCGGCTGCTCCATATGTCCAAGGTGAAGTGTAAGGCCACCTGCAGACCTGCCTTGTGCAGCTCCTCCCTCAAGTACTCCCTGCATGCCTCATGCAGGGAGGGCACCACTGTCCTGCTGAATATGGTGTGTGTGGGCACTTGGTATGATGGGGCCATGAACGCCATGAGCCTCCTGCACCCTGGCCACTCAACTTAGGAGAAGGGCTGGCCATCCAGAGCAAGCATCTCCCCAATACTCTGGGTGACCAGGATGGGGCCACGGGTGTCATGAGCCACCTGAACCACTCAACTAAAGAGAAGGGCTGGCCATCCAGAGCAAGCATCTCCCCAATACTCTGGGTGACCTCACTCGCCTTGGGAACATGTCCTTGTTTGTCCCCACCTTTCCCCCACTGGTCCAGGGTGGCCTGGTTCTGCTTCTGCTTCTGGAGGACGGGGGCTTTGGAGTGAGAAGGGGAATTCCCTTTGAGCATGCTCCCACTGGTGCCAGGCTGAGGAGGAGCAAGAGGAAGGGGCTGGTACCTCGTGATATGCATCAGCATCCCCATGGTGCTCCCCACGGTGTTGAATTGTTTCTTTTCCACCTGCCTCCACAACCTCCTCCACAGTGCATTCTGGAGAAGGAGACCTGGCTTTAGGGGAAATTTGAGGGATGTAGAGCAGAAACTCAGATTCCCCCTCGTTCCCCAGAATTTCCTTGACTATGGCACTGAGCTCCCCTGGTTCCAGATCCAGCTCCTCCTCTGGCACTGGGAGGCTCAAGCTGGGAACTGAATTTGGGGTTGAGAAGACTGTCATGCTGGTGCTTGTCATGCTGGTGGTGCTGGGGGTTATTATTATTGCTTGTGTTAGTGGAGGTAGAACAGGTGCAGACACTGCTCCCACCTCCTTGCTGCCACTAACAGCAGAAGCCTCATGCCTGCTAGGGAAGAGGGTGCATCAAAGTTTGTGGGGGCTAGGGGTGTTGAACTTACAGCTTTCCCTCTGCCCCCTCACTCCCCTGCCAGAAGACGTGACAACTACCTTTCCAGAATGCTTCATAATGTTTGCTGTGCTGGAAAATGTGTGTGTGTGTGTAATATATCTTGTATGTGTTTAATATACACGTGGAGAATGGGGCCCTGGCCGGGCTAGGTCATGGGGCAATTGGAGTCCAGTGGCTCCCGCCACTGCATGTACTGCAAGAGAGCCAGGGGAGGCAGAGTTATGGTGCTGGGGAGCCATTGAGGGCATATGACCCCGCCCGATCTTTGCACAGGGCAAGGGTGGGCTGCAGCTGTGAGGCGAGTTGAGCTCTGCCTGCTCCATGCCTTGCTGCAGCCTTTGAAGGTGGCGTGGCACAGTGCCATGTGCCTTGCTGCCCAGGCTGCCCAGTGGGGGAACACACATGGCGGCGTGCCACTTACAAAGGCTGCAGCTAGGCGTGGAGGTGCAGAGCAAGCAGAGCCCAGCTTGCCTTGCAGCTGCAGCCTGCCCTTGCCCTATGCAAGGAGTTGGGGGGCCATGTGCCCCCCTTGGCTCCCTGGCACCATGACTCCTCAGGAGCCACCAGGCTCTTCCTGGGGATGACCTAGATGGGGTGGGGCGGGGATCCCTGGGGCCCCATCTCCTCCGGCCTGGTGGCACAGCTGAGGCTGGCTCTCCTCCAGCTCCGTGCCTCCCCGGGTGGTGCGGGGCTGGGGCCACACTGCAGCTGGTGCAGGGAGGCAGACAGAGCCAGTGCAGGGGTGGGAGGTGGTGGATGCCGGCAACAGGCAATGAGCCCTGGCATGGGGGAAGGGGCAGGTGGATGGGTGCAGCGGACCCCAGCCCTGAGTCTGATCCCTGCCCAGTGCCAGCCCCAGCCTCACTCCCTTCCCCCATGGCCCTTTCCCCTCTCCCCACAGACTTTTGTGCAGGGGGTGGGCTGAGCCCAAATTTTTTTTCTCCCACTGTCCCCAGCCCCCCGGTGGGCGGTTGGCTGCTGGGGAACTTCCGGCCCCCAGTTGGCAGTCGGCTGCTAGTTCCCCCCCCCCCC